GAAGAAAAAAAGGAAATGACAAGGCGAATTACTCAATGGGAGCAGGTAAAATAGTGGTGACGTCGTTCTTCTGAGGTTTTGGTCCATCTGAAAAGATTTGTCCCAAAAACGAGACAATACAGGGGCTATTTTCTACACTTGTTACATGCGGTCAAAACTCACCCTGAGTTTTTAGGCAAATTTGGTAATCATCACCAAAGATGGTTAAAAAAAAAAAAAAAATCTTGAAAGTCTTTACAAAAACCCATTTACTCCCAATAAAGCCTTTTTTAAAAGTGTTGCCTTTAGCTGTAAACAGGATATTATGTTGCCAACATAAATATCTGTTCAAAAGTATTTAAGGATCCATTGACATGTTGGTCTTTTTGAAGTGTTTCACACAAAAAAAAAAAAAAAAAAAAACTTGATTGTTTCCACCCCAAAATTGCAGTGCGAATTGCTTAAATGGAAGCATGCCGACTGTGGGGAAATGCATCTTCGAGAAAACAAGGAAAACAAAAGCAAAACATAAATACCTTTCCATTAAAGACAGGAAACCATTAAATTCAGGAAACGTTTTGACTTGGAGCTGAAGCTTATTTTTTGCTTAAAGGAAAAGGGGAACAAGGACATAAAGTGAAAAAACATGAACAAAATTGATTGAGGACACCCTACACCTACAACTACACTATATCGTACAAAATAAGGCATTTCCTTGTGTAATTACTGCAACGTCTCTTTCTATTCTTACCTCCACGTCATAGCAGAGCGGACGAGACTTTCTCTTTGAATGGTAAAATATATATATATCATCATTTTACAGTTCTTTTCTTCAAAGCTGGAATAAAAATGCAGGAAAGGGATATAGGAGAATGGTGTCACGCGAGTTTGTGAGCGGCGCGCCAAATCACTCCATGACTTCGCTGGCCGCTAAGGTGGTGACGAGCTGCAGGGGGATCTCGGCATTGGCCAAGATGTCCTGGGCGTTATTGGAGCCCTGCTGGATGTTGGTGAGGATGAGGGTGGTGCCGCCCGGCGTGGTGATGAGGCTGTCCGACGACCCCGCTGACTCCACTGATGTCACCATGGCGCTGCCAGAGTTCACGCCTTTTTTGTTCTGGTGGGTTTTGATGTGCTTGGCAAGGTGGTCGCTCCTCATGAAGCGCTTGGAACATTCGGGGCACACAAACTTCTTCTCGCCTGCCAAACAATAAAAAAAGAAAAAAGCTTCACGTACCAGGAGAGACAGTGGCTATAAAAAGTCTGATCAACGAAAAGTTATTTTCAGTTGTTCTAGTAGGCTTTTCCTGACATTCGTTTAAAAAATAAATAAATAATGATCATAATAATACATTTCTTTTGAAAGTGCTTTTCATCGTACTCAAAGACACTTTACAAGAATTTAAAACACGGGATTAAAATGTACACTTTAAAGCCAAGCATACATGATTTAAAACAAACACACTATACGTACAGTGAAATGTAGTAGCATAAGACTTTTGGGCATTAATTTTGTTCATCTGCAGGGAATTCAGAACAGTTCCAAATGGCAAACAAGCACTGACTCTTACGTTCACACCTAAGGACAATTTAGAGCCTTCAATTAATTTAACGTGCATGTTTTTGGAATATGGGAAGAAGACAAAAACGCACATAATCACGAAGAGAACATGCAAATGACACACAGCAAGGCCGACCTCCAATGTGGAATAACATTTTCCCCTAATACGGCGCTCCCTTTGGGAGTCCAACCAAAATGTTGCTGACACGTATGAAACCATTCCAGTGATTTAGTGGCGCACCTGTGTGTGTTCTCCTATGTCTCTGCAACTCGTCGCTGCGCGTGAACCTCTTCCCGCAGTACATCCAGGTGCAGACAAAAGGTCGCTCCCCGGAATGCCACCGCAGGTGTGCTCGCAGGTGCGACGTCTTTCCGTACACTTTGCCGCAGCCTGTGATGTGGCAGATGTGCTGCTTCTTCTTCCCCACGCCGGATCCCCTGAGAAAAGCGGCCCGGCACAATCGGCATCCGGCTTGCAAAACGGCCGCGCTTTTTTTTGGAACTCAAGTACTCACCTCCCACCAGACTCTTTACAGTTGGGGCAAGTGCAGGCCACTCTACGTAGTCTCTTGCCCCCTAGGCCTATATAATCCTCATCCTCCACCAGCCTGACCTGAAGGTGGGACAGATCGCTGGTGTTTAGGGTCGAATCGGAGCTCAGCTGCCACTCTGCGGAGTCCGGCTCCTCCTTTATCCGGATGTCTGTGGAGTGCAGAAAAGCCTCAGTTGGAGTCATATTGCTGTGTGTGACATGGCTGGATTGTAACTGAAGGTAAAATCTATGACACCGTGACAATAACTGTTTCTTGTCAACCATTTTGCGATAGCTAAATGGAGAAATCAACAAAAGAACTCCGAGTATGATGCGGTCCAGTGATATCTACTGTCACAGTAATATAACTAAATGGTCAATACATTTTTACTTTTTTTTTTTATAAATCAGAGATGCAAATATAAACTTAAAAAAAATAATTCTGAAACTTCATTGCTATAAATTACAACGCATGGTAAAATCCGTATTGCAAAAGCTTTTTTGATTGATCAAAAAAAAAAAAAAATCTCAAAAACCTGATGTATTAGAAAAATCAGCATCTAAATTATGAAAACAGAACCAAAACTTTTTAATGTAAGACCACGACATTAGGTGATAGCAACATAAGGTACGAGATATCAACCTGTTTTGGTAACCCAAGCAAGATGGGTTTTTTTTCCCCCACCCCCAAAGGACTCTTTTTGGCGAAAATTCTGCCAGACGACGCTATTGTAAATTATTACCGCTCTGACAGTGTTGTTCACAACTGAGCATTATTATATCCATAGAAGCATTACAGATCTTTTCACTTGCATATTACATTGCCTGCAATAATCAAGTGTACCTCTTGGCATGTCAGCATTTCCTTGCTGTTGTTGTGCCACCGAGTTGACCGTCACTGTTTGGAGGTTGGGCATCTGCCCAGTGTTGACGCCGACCGGACTGGAACCCAGTGAGAGGGTCTGGACCGGAGCCAGAGTAATCTGCTGAGGGACAGTGGTGGGAAGCTGAAGGTTTTGCAGGTTCTGCACACCTTGCACCTGGAAGGTCTGCCACTGTATCTGGCCTGTTGGGGTCACAGTCTGGGCTTGGATGATGAAGGTCCCAGGGTTTATCAGCTGAAGGTTTTGAACACCCTGTCCGCCCGTAGCCACCGACTGGACCACCTGCCCGTTGGCGGTCTGCAGTGGCACCTGCTGCAGCTGGACGATGGGTGGAGCAGATGTCGCCTGGATGTCCGGCTCTTGAGTCTGTTGGATGTAGCCCTGCTGGAGGCCAGCGTTGGAGTCGGACTGCTGCGAAGCCACGGATGGCAACGTGGCGTCTTGCGTCTGGAGGCTCGCTTCACGAGTCGGATCGTGGAGCTGCGAGGAAGACGTCGGCACAAAAAGCTCCGCATTGGCATCATTCACTCGTAGCGTTTGAGAGAGGTCATCGTTGGTCTTCTCCTGACTCTCTGCGCCACTCCCCGGTTGATCCGCCATGATTAACTGGCCATCAGCCGTGACGCCTGTCGCTATTGTCTGGGCTCCGGATAGGCCTAGCGCGTCCAAGTCTATGCTGTTAATCGGAACAAACGTGATGTTCCCTGGCAAACCCACAGGTACATTCGTTACAACCTGAGCCTGGTGGTTGAATGCAGAGTTGCCAAGAGAAATCCCCTGGATCTGCTGCATATTTGCAGTCTGTGATATGAGGCTCTGGTTGTTCGTAAGAATGCTGGCAGCGGATGTGACACACAGACCCTGACTGCCGTCGGGCAAGATCTGAATCTGTCCCGCCGCATCCTGATTCAGAGTTGCTCCTTCCATGCCTGTGGTGGCGAAGCTCAGTTGTCCGTCTGCAGTCTGAATCTGAGGAATTACTTGGTACTGAATGTTAGGCACTGAATTGGCAGAGGCGGTGTCGCTTCCCGACGACACAAAAATCGGCTGACTCTGCAAACTCTGGAGAGGAAGAACGTACTGTCCATTTGATGCTAATATTCCTTGGCCTTGGATTTGGATCATCTCACGGTCATCCTTGGCAGCCGTGGTGGGGGCTAACACCTCCCATTTATCAGACACTGTAAGCTGTGTAGATGTCTGATCTGTTGCCTGAGACAGAAAATGGAGGATATTATACACACGCAAATCCCTGCAAAATAGAGGCGCCTAAATCATTTGTGCATTGCGAGCGAATTATGGCCTTCGATGTAAGATTCTTCAAGACAGCAGATTATTGTTGTCTGCCATTTCAGCCGGTTGCTCTTG